GGATTATCGACGCTGTATTGAAGGATGCAAAGATTATGAAAAAAGATTGTGCGGTGGTATTCCTTGACGTTGTCGGTGCTTTTGACAATGTTGGCCACAATCATATCGTGAGCTCCTTGGAAGCAAGAGGTGTGTCGCCGGATCTTCAACACGTTATATCGGCTCTCCTCTGCACGAACACAATCAAAATTAGTAACGGTGTTCACGCAACTAGCCAAATCAAAGTGCTGCGCGGGGTACCCCAAGGCGGCCCCTTGTCGTCGTCGCTCTTCAACCTGGCCATTGACCATCTCTATCGCGACCTGTGCGATGAAGAATTTTCCAAAAAATTTGGATACAAGTTAAAAAGTGACCAAGGTTGTGTGGTCCTCACAGGTTTCGCGGATGACCAGGCCGTGTCAGCGCGTGACAAGGGGGCTGCAGAAAGAGTGATCGGCAGCGTTCAGAGGACATTTGAGGGAATTGGTTTGGCTATTAATCCTCAAAAAAGCGTGGGCATCGTTCTAAATAAAGGAGAGCTGGAAACCGCGATGCTCTCCCTTGAGAACGGAGAGTACATCCAAACAATGCAGAATGGAGATACAATCAAGTATTTAGGATGTACATTCTCGGGAGAGCTACAGTTCAACGAAGATTCGGTGACCAAATTGAACGAAAACCTGAATAAACTGGTAACCTCTCCCTTGCTGAAGCCGGAGCAGAAGCTAAACATTGTCAACCAATATCTGTTCCCGGGTCTTACTTACCCTCTCCAAACTGCGCCCCTCACAAAGCTGCGTCCTGCCGTACTTGACGGCATCGACACCATGATTCGCAGGAGTGTGAAGGCTATTGTTGGACTCCCTGCGAACACCTCCACGGCGATGTTGTACTCTCCCAGGAGGTATCGAGGATTGGGATTAATCCGCTGCCAATGGGAGGCTCCTCTACAACATTGGTCCATTGCTCAGCGACTGTCCAATGTGCCCGATGCCCTTTTTCAGTCGATCTTTGATTATTCGGCTGAGGTTGATGAATGTGCCGAGAGATTGGGGGTTGATCGGGGTATTCGGAATATGAGAGCTCTACGGCAGTCGCTTCGAGAAAATTCGTTTGAGGAATGGACCAATTGCAGGTGGCAGGGCATTGGAGTTCGCCATTTTAAAGAGACCCCGAAAGCCAATAAATACATGTATGATAAGCAAGTACTTTCTGGGTCTGAATGGTCAAATGCCCTGAAACTAAATATTAATTATGCTCCCCTGCGTGGAGTCCCAGGTGTCAGCGGACAGGTAAGAGAAGTTGGGTCCCTCTGTCGCAAATGCGACAGAGAGCCAGAAACACCAGCACATGTGCTTGGAAAATGCCCCAACAACTCCCTCCTTATAACACGCCGTCACCACAGAGTCAAGCATGAACTGATGAGGCTCCTTGAAGAGAGAGAATACGCCTGTTTCGAGGAAGTATATTGTATAGATACGGATGGATCCACCCGATATGCCGACATTGTAGCATTCTCTAAGACGGGAAAGTCGGCGATGATTTTGGATCCGACCGTGAGATATGAGACCAACGACCTCGATCAGGCAGAAAAAGTGGAAAGGGAGAAAAAACAGATATATGAGAAATGCATCCCTTTCCTTAGTGAAAAGTTCCGCGAGAGTTTCGGGCCGAGAGAATTCCACGTGAGAGGCCTTTGGTTCGGAGCTCGCGGAACGATACCAGACTCAACAAGGAGCTTCATGGAGGGCCTTGGTGTCGACATAAAGGACGTGGCAAGGTTGGCAGAGAGTATAATCCTCGACTCCCTGGGAATCATCCACCACCATGTGCATGGGAGCGGATAGGGGGAGAGTTTGCTCGCGAGGGGGAGGCATGCGTGTGTTACAGCATTTTTTATATTATTATTTATTGAACACGTCCACTGTACTTTATGAATTTTTTATGTATTAGGTTAGAAAGAGAGAGGAGAGAATGTGAGTGGGAACATGTATAGGGGAGAGAAGGAAGAGAAAGGGTACAGAATGATAATAAATGAATGAAAGAAATAGTAAAAATTATAAAAAAAAAAAAAAAAAAAAAAAAGGAAAAAAAAAATAATATATATATATATATACGTATAAAATATTGTATACTATGCTCATACATATTGTTAATCCTATAATTGTATAATAATTTTAAATAATGTCTGTAGTGATTAATAGGTATGCTGTGTTGTTAGCAACCCAATGTAATTGGGCAGCACCATTTTATTTTATTTTATGATAATAAAGTGATTCTCTCTCTCTCAAGGTAATTAAATGACCTTATTCCCAATTAAATAGTTAAGTTTAAATTTAATATTCAAAGGTCGATTAAGGAAAAGTTGTAAAGATGTATATATATATATATATATATATATATATATATATATATATATATATATATATATATATATATATATATATATATATATTATAAAATAATTTCTATAGATAAAATTGAATGACTGAAATGACCAATGGCTTTATACTGAGATAAAGTAAAATAAATTTTAAAAATATATAAACAATTAAAAATTCCCTAATCGTACACTTCTGATAGGTAATTTCTAATCCATAATGGACTATGTATCATTGACATAAGTTATTCATAGTAGTTTGTAATTTTCTTTGGGTATTAGTAAATTCAAGATTAACTAATTTAATATGTTCAAGGTTTACAAAGTTAATAAAACAGTAAGAGATCATCAAATACTGAACATGCAAGTTTATTATTTACAGATATTGGCACCGTCGTTTTTGATATCTTGAAAATTTCAGGTAATCAGAAATGTGACACTAAGACTTTTCTAGACGGTTCATCTGATAAATAATAATCATAATTATCCTAGCCTGTCTCATCGATGATAAACGTTTTTAAAACAAAAAAATATTCATTTTGTTTTTTTGTATAACTGATTACCTTTTTATTTGATTATGAAAAAATTACGGTAGCGACGGAAATATAGATGTTCATGCATCACAATAGTGGCAGTATTGATAAATGCATGTACACATGTGAACTACTGGTAAAACATCAGAATCTTATCTTGGTCGGATTTTAGAGAGATTTGCTTTTTTCCATATCGTAGGAAGTAAACAATTATATAAATAGTATGCCTGTATAGATGGAATAAAGATTAAATAACTAATCTCAAGCCATCAACAAAAGAATTCTCTTAATGCCTAGTTTGATATTATTTATATAGGTACAAAAAGTACAAGTAATTTTATTAATAATTCATTTTTTTATGGGTAAAATTTATAAGAGAGTTCACAAAACTTCTTTTGTGAACTTTGGCGTTTCTTTTATTATTGTGTATGATATAAAAAAAAAAAAATGAAATAAATCGTGAAATAATAACAAAATATGCAACTTCAAAAATAATTTTCAAAATTGAAACAAGGTGGTATAATGTTATTTGCATTACGGAAGTACCTATCATTAGTAAAATTTCTACAGAGGCAAGTAAATTATAAACAAATTGACAATTTTTTTAGAATAAAAGAATTTCAAAAATAAGCGCATAAAAGTCGTTTCCTTAGTTTGGAAATCCTCTATCAATTGTGCTATAGTTGCCGTAATATGTGCAAATAGTTCATACAGAAGGCGCAAGCAACATGGGACAACTGACCCTCTTCCCTTTCAACGTGCAAATTTTTAAAATAAAATATCAATAAATATAAAAATAAAAAAAATATTTTCTGAAAAATTAATTAACAGCTACAGGTGTTTTTTGAGGTTCTTAAAAAAAAACTGACACAAAATCAAGACTAATCCTCTTAACATTAACTTTACTTCCCTCATTTATAAAATTTCTTTCTCCCTTTTCTGGCTAATTCCATGTGCCGTAATTTATTATCGTGGTCATGAAAACTGTTCTAGATAAAATGTTCCTTGGTTTAATTAATTCTTTTAATAAACCGTTAATTAGTTAATTAAGAATATATGAATGTTAAAAGTAAGTTGCAAGATTCTTTTATATAATAACTATACAAACCAAAAACTTAATAACATTATACAAAAACATAAATATCTGTGCTAAATTTTAATGATAACTCTTTAGATATGATTTAATATTTTAAACAATATATCAGAAAATTAGGAAGGATTAAGAGATCTTCCAAAAGTAATAAACTAATGATTCATAAAATTAACACCAACTATGTATCATGAATAAAATCATCCAATACTCCAAAAGAAAATTTATTGTTAGTAATCCCACAGCAACTTGCCAATGACTTTGCGCGTCCGTCATATTAAATTACAACTCCAACGTCATAAATATATAAATAATAAATCACCGGAAATGGGATCGTACGGGAAAAGTACGATGAACATCTTTCAATTAGAACTGGTTAAATAATGTTTATTTAACTAAAAGCTCTTGTAACCCTTTGAAGGTTTTTGTTAAATACACCACCAATCAAATCATCTTTCGTATAAATAAAAAAAGAATGTTTAAGATGTTAAAAAATACGTTAAAGAAAAGCAAAAACTTTCAAAATCGTCAAGTTTGTCTAATTGTTTTATCATTTTCGTGTCCTAATAGGAATTCAATAAATTATGGTCACTATCTTTCATACAATTTTATTTTTATTCTTGTATAATTGTGAAAACATGTAGTTTAATTTGCAAAAAGTGGTGATAAGTCAATAAATCCTTGATTGTGCATTGGGTATGGCAACATTGGACAAGTTACTGCCCATAAATAAATATTAGCGTATCACAGTTATCAGTAATAGCCTCTTACTTGACTCAGCTCCCCTACCTCTTTGGATTAATAACTTCAAGAACAGCTGTAACCTTTCATACCGGGAATAAGATAGCCAGAGAAACCTCAGTATCTATTGTTAGAGTTATAGGTGCTGTGACTTCACAAACCGGTTCCTACTTTAAGTTGTATCGTTAATGCGTTTCAGAGAATCTATTTTTGAATTTATGTCTGAGTAGTTTTGGAAGTACTGTATTTCAGTTTTTGTATTTTACCTCCCCTTGGAATGTCAACTTTAAAAGTATTGCGTTCAGTTAATAAAGGACTTTTATTAAAACATGTTGAGTATTTGCCTCTTGCAAATGCCAAAAATATTTCAAATTCTCCATTCTTATCTAGTGAACAATTAAACGCCCAAGTTTATGGAGAAAATAAAGTTGCTTCTCTTTCAAAAGCCAACTTCAGAAAAATTGATGAAAAATCACTGGTATTTAATAAGAATCCAGATAATTTTGGAACTTTGAGTGGTAACAGGTGAGTATTGGCCCTCAATTTGATTTATCTATCAATATAATGGCTATATTCCATTGATATATTATCCTTCCAAATAGTGTATGTCTATCTTATTTTACAGTAAGATGAGAAAAATAATGGAAGAAATAGAAGAGGATGATGATATAGAAGAAATTAATTACATTGATGGACAGCAAGGAAAAATTTGGGAAAAGCCAATTCATTATGCTATGATGATAAAGAAACTTTTAAATGAAAGAAAGGTTTCTATATATTTAAATCTTCATTTTCTTATAATGTGCATCTAAGTGACTGAAGAGTTATTTACCGGTTTTTGGTTTCGAAATTTCATTACTAACATTTTTGTAATTTGAATTTTTAGAACGCTCATTACTTAAAGTCCTTCTAAGTCTGAGAGGATGTAACAATGTATATTTGTTAGAACATTTTTACATTTTATATAATTCAACATCAACAAATCATTAATTTATTTCTCTTAAAATTTTAGCTTTAGTGGTTTTATTAATATCTTACCAGCATCTTAGTCATTTTTATATTTTCAAAAACTTTTTTAAACCCCAATGTCAGGTCCACTAAATGCCCTAAATATATTTAAACTAAAACATTTAATGTATTTTAATTTTTAAAAAAGTAGGTCATCCATTATTAGTTTTTCTAGCAAGTGAAATCAGTTGAGCAACTAGATTTACTCCCTTTTTCTCACTCTCTCTATCTCTCTCTTTCAGCAACAATATTTATCTTTTGTGGATATTTGATAAACATTCAACTTTATTTTTCATTGAACTTATATCCTATATGAGAGAAAATTAAAGAAGCTTCTTTGTATGTTCGAAGAAGAAAATTAAAATTATTAGAGTATAGTTCAATTCATTATTAAATTGCTGAAGTATCCCATATCGATTAAAGTGTTTTCACTGATATTGATTAAGTGTATCCTGACAGATTAGTTGTATGAAATTTTATGACAATGGGTATTATTTTACTTCTTGTTTATGCTCTGTATTTTATATTATATCCTACATGTTCTCTTTTTACATTCTAGCTAGTTGAAGCGTTGAACATTTTAGAAGTAAAAATGTTGAAAGAAGAAAGGGGAAAACCTGATGTGTACATATATAATTTATTAATTAGTGGTTGTGCCAAAGAAGGATATACCAAAAAAGCTTTTCAACTTTTCAATGAGGTAATCGATTACTTGCACGAGTTTACTTTAACAACTTTTTTTTTTATGTTATACATTTTATTTTACATTCTATTTTAGATGAAGAAACGAGGACTAAAACCAAAGCAAAGCACCTACACTTCATTATTCAATGCATGCTCAGAAGGCCCTTTTGCTGCTGATTCTTTAAAAAAAGCCAGGCACTTAAGAGAACTAATGCTGGAAAAGGGAGTCGAACCAAACTTAGCCAATTACCATGCAATGATCAAAGGTAAGTTTTAAAATGATGCATTTAATTTAATATTTTTCTTGAAAAATGATTTTTGCTCTAATTTAAAAAAATGAAATTTCAATAGACCAATAGCTAATAGTCCTGAGTTTTTTGGTAAAATATAATGATATAAATCATCTTACGATTCAGATCAATTTTGATTTCACAAAAATTTCATTGTGATCATATATTTCAGTGATAATGTTTTTGTTAACCTATTAAGTCATTTTTAGTTACTTTTCTCAACTATGTTCTAAATAACCATGAAAAAAGTGATTTCTGAATATGATCGAAATTTCTTGAGAAGTCAAATAATTCAATATTTGGCTTATCTCTAATTTTTGTTTATGAAACAATGAAAACATGAATGAGTACTGGCACAGTGAGGAGTGAAGTACAAAATAAACTATTTAGAATTCATAAAATTTGAACTCTATGGGGAACAAAATAGTAATCAATCTCTAGTACATTTTCTTATATTTAGACGTACAAATAAGTGTTCATAAACTATTTATGCATAAATAATTTTGATTTTTTCGTAACTTCTTTTATTTTATTCTGTATTATTTTCCTATACATACCTCTTATTTTAAAATTGTTTGAGAATTGGTTCTTTTGATTTATTAAAATTTAAATTATTTATCCTAGCTTTTGGACGACATGGCGACCTAGAAACAAGTTTTTCAATAGTTGATGAGATGGCTTCAAAACAGATTCCACTTACTTCTGTTACATTTAACTTCTTGTTACAAGCTTCTGCATCAGATAAAGAAGCTGGTTTTCGTCATGCTCTCATTGTAAGTAACAATTTTAATATCAGTGTTTACAAGTCACTATTAACACGACAATATTAATTGATGTTTAAGAAGTTTTTGAAATTGAATCTAAAGAGGCATGAATCTCTAATCAGTTTTAAGATTATTTTCCTGTTATTTTTGTTTATTTATCCTACAGGTTACCAATTCATAAGTGTGAAGGCTGAGATTTATTCTGTTGGTATGCCACAAATTATTACTGATAAAACATTTTTTTTTTTTTTACACTGCTACTTTACTTTTATGTGATAATATTTTTGATTTTTTTTTATTCTTACCTTTGATTTTGTTCCAGGTCTGGAGGAAAATGCTGGAGAAGAAAGTTGCTCCATCACATTTCACGTTCAATCTCCTTCTTCGATGTACCAGAGACTGTGGAGCAGGTGATGTGAATTCTGCACAAGAACTAGTCTCTATGCTTGGTTCTGGCCAGGTTAGCTCTTAAGTCATTACTTCTTTATCTCTTAAATTAAAATTAATATATTTTTTTGTTTCTCATGTTTATTGAATTGTGTATGAAATCTTCAATTGGTTTTTTAAAATTTTAAAAAGTAATGAACTGTGGAGAACCATTATTTTTCTTTTAGGTGATAAATTTCTTTTTAAAAAAATGATTTTATGTAAATGCCTCCTTGAAATGATATAAAATCTTTATTATTGAATAAACATTTTCTACTTTAATTTTTGTTATTAATTTTATTTTTCCTACATAAAATCTTTGTTTATTAGATTTTTTATTCTTTACTATTTTTACAATATATTTGCATCTTTCTTAATGCATCAACAAATGATTTATATATATATTTTTTTTTGTTGAGTGTTTTATGTTCTATACTCTTTTTTCTTACTCCAATCCAACCACTGCACCTATTGCTCTTCAAAAACCATACCTCTAAACTGGAAGAGTGGTTCCACAAATGGGAAATTGAAATAAATGTCAGTGAATCAAGCCATATTTTTTCATGGTGTGGTGCTCTCCTGTAAAAATAAGCCCATGTCCATAATGTATGGAGCAGAGTAAAATACAACAAAAATTGTAAATACATTTTGATTTATTTTAAATAACACAATGAGTTCTGTCTCTTTCCTCCTCCTGTTACCTGGTGGCCTTGAAGGAAGACTGAAAAGAACAGTGCACACCAATTACTCATTATAAAGAATGATAACTAATTATCAAGAACATCAAAGACAAACAAAAAAAAAAAAAAGTTGCAAATATATTGGAAAATAAATTAATATAATAAATGCTTGTTACTAAAATTAATATTAATTATATTATTTTATAATAGGCTTTAATTGACGGTGGTATTAGTGAAGAAAGCTATAATCGTTTGGTCCCTCAAAGCCCAAACTTACTCCTTCCCACTGTTCAGCAGAGTTCAATTTTGTCAGTAACATCTACAATTGATAAAGCTTCAGACAGGTAATTTCCTCTCACCATCTATTCAAAACATTTTGTTTTATTAAATGGTAGTTTGAATGTCATTTATTTTAAAGGTTGATGCTTCTTGGGAATACGGACGGTTTTTTTGCTATGATGGACTTATTTAAAGCAGTTCCAGATATTAAAACGTTTTCACAGCTATTGGATATTATTCCTTCAACTACAGAAGCAGAACATGTAACTTTTTTTTATGTTATAATGAATGAAAAACATTTTCTTTTTCGTTTTTTTTTTTATTAATTTGTTAACCTTTTTATATTCTTTATTTACAGAAACTAATTGCTGAAATGAAAGCTAGAAAAGTAATTATAGATGTAGATTTCTGTAATATGTTGATTAAGAAGAGAAATTTTTCTGAGCGGACTCAGGCAGCCGTGGTATGTTTTATTAATTTTTGATGATGATTATATTCATCTTTATACTAGATGAACAACTTGTAAAAAAAAAGTCTTTGTTTTTTTTTCATGTTTAAAATATGATATATATTCAGTTAAATTGTTTTAAATGTTATTTTCAAGAATGACTTGTTTTTCTCTTGGCTGCTTATCCATTATTTTGAAATCTGTGCTATTCCAAATAACCTAATCACCTATTCTATCTATACACTTTTTGATGTAGATATGGTTGACCATGATATAATATGAGAAGGATTTGGTCAGGAGGTATGGTCAAATAAATAATAAATGTTTAAAAAATAGTATTTATTTGACCGCACCCCCATGACCAACTCCTCCTTATACACTTTTTGATTTCTCTCTTCCTCAATTCTTGACTCATACCTTTATCTTCCTTCTCATATGATCATAGAATTAGACCAGTAGTATACCATTACTAAAATACATTTACAAATACATAAAGTACGTTTAGATAGTAATACATTGACTCTAATTTTAGCATAAACGTGAAATCCAGTGTAAAAGCAATTATTATTAAATAACTATAAGCAATGTGTATTTAAGTAGCATAAATTATAAATTTCAGTTATGGTATAATTATTGATCTTTAATATAATTGGTCATTTTCATTTGCCTCTTTTGGGCAAACTTTCATCACAGCAATATTCCGGTTATTTAATTTAAAAGTAATATTATTTTGTTGATGACCTGGATGTTTTGCGCCAAAACATTAAAACAACCAAGCAATATTCTGGATCTTATAAACCAGTGGCACTGCCAATTTTAAATTCTTTTTTTGTCTTCAATGAGGGAAGTTGTACACTTGTTCCTTCATTTTTGAACAATTATTCCAAGATTTCGAGTCTATAAATGTAATTAACTTTCCTATGTTTAAACTAGTCTTTCTAAAAGGTAATTTGACATTCTCAACTTATTTTTATTCAATCAATAATTGAGTATCATGCAAATGTTAATAAATTATTTACTATATTATTCTATGTATATTTTTTTCTCTTTGTAATAGTGACACAATTGTTGATTTCTACTGTACCTAATAGTTAACAGAAACTGTCAAATGAACTAGTGACTGTTATTTTTTATGGAAATTTGTATAAGTTTTTGTTTAAAAAGTATTGGATTTCCGAATTGTTTTGCTATTTCTTCTCTAAACAAAATTTTCTGCTGATTATTCACACAGGCCAACTAGTATAAATAAATATTATATTTTATTATTCTTCTGATTTCAATGATTTGCTTACTTACAGTATTTGTTTTCCTTATGAATGATGGATTTTTCTTTTCATTAATTTCTGAATTCTTCTTAACTTTTCAGGAAGTATTAGATTTAATGAAGAAAGAAAAATTAATTCCTAACATTATGACTTTTGGAGTCCTTGCTCTTGGTTGCAATAATTTAGAATCTACCAAAAATTTAATAAATGATATCGATGAGATCGGATTCAGGTAGTGTTATTGTTATTAATTATTATTGCTATTATGTTTAATTAATTTATAGCTATTATAAAATGATTGTTTATCTGATTAAAAATCCTACTTTTTTGTTTGTCTATTTTATGATAATTTACTGTATAACGTACTGATTATTTAATAGTATTATTCTATACTATAATGAAAACGATACTTGATAGGCTGCAGTAATGTTGGACATTGTGATCATGGAGGCCACAATATTTTTTTTTTTTAATTTTACTGTTGCTATTTTTATTTTTGAGCAAATACAAATTACACACATATATTCAACTTTATTAATTTTCATAATTAAATAATTCTAGCGCTAAATTAATAAAGATCAAGAAAAAACTAATGGAGGCCATAGGTTCCCCACCTGTGTGATGATTTATGCAAATGGAAATATTTTTTTTATATTAATATAATCATTCTTAGGCATAAAATAAAGATATTTATGTAGAACATGACCAAGAATATCGATTCAGGGCAAAAGTTCACATGATCACGCTATAGATGGAGTTCTCAAAATTTTTGAGTTCAGCAGAGTGTATGAAAACATATTCATGTAAATTTATTTGGCAATGTTAGTAAATTAAACTAACCACAAAATGCACATATTTTTAAACCCTTACACTCAACTTAATGTTGTAACTGAATAAATTATTCACTGCTCTTTATATATTATGGGTGATTGGTATTTTTAATATTTATTTTAGTTTATGTTCTCAATAATTAAAAAAAAAAATTCAATGGGTTATGATTATAATTGTTAGAAACCATAAAAATTTTATTCATTTCAATCAAACTCTTTCGACATTTGGCATTTAATATAATATAATTGTAATAGTTGAATCTGTTTAAGATCCAAAGATCGAATTTCATAATTTACTTTCGGATGCAACTGTCTAGTCGGAAATTTTTGGTATTCCATCTACGGTATGATCATCATGTGAACTTGTGCTTAGCCGTCATATTGTTAGTTGTATTCTCCATAAGTATCAAAATAAAAGCCAGTTCTGATTAGCCTAGAAGTATACTGATTCTGGGTTAATTTTGTTCTGGAACTAACGTCGTCCTGATTTCGTGTAATTGAGATTAGAATTTACTTAATCTGGAAAGAAGTACTAACTTGAATTAGCAACCAGTATTTAAAATAATTTCAAAAGTTCTGGTTAAAAATAAATTGTTACTATCCCATCCCTGGATAAAAGCTCTGGCATTAATTGATATTTGACTATATTTATCACAACAATATAAAAATTAAAATTTCTACACATATGCTTAAAAATATTAAAGTACCAACAGTGAATGATATTACAGCCTCTTTTACCACTGTCTAACCTAAATGTGTCCTCCTTTATCACTGCCTAACCTAAATGCTGCAATATCCAATGAATAGAGTCCCCCACCCATGACATTTGCTGTTTCTTCCCTAAATAAAATCTTTTTTTTATAAATGTTTAAAGAATAAAATAAAAAATGCTCATCAAATGAATATTGAAAGATCTCTAGCTGTACTGCACCTTTATCTTGACTTCAGCAAAAAGATCTTGTATCTTTATTTATTTATATTTTATGCAATTTGCACCTGCGCATCTAGCAAATTTGCTGTGTTTGCATTGTCTTGGTGTATTTGCTTGATATGGATTTAATAGTAGGTCTCTTGGCCACAGTCTCATATTTCTAATATGATCAATTAGATAAAAACAGGTTTCATATAATTATTTTTTTTTAACATCGAGAGGTTCCCCTTATTTTCTTTTTCTTTTTTTTTAATGATTCATATATTTTAAAATAGTACTAATTTTCATTTACATTTCAGGGTCAATATTCAAATTCTAGGAGGCCTGATGAAGCGTTGTTATGAAAAGCTCGATATAGATATGGCATTATTTGTAATAGAGAGTCTTTTAAAAGAAGAAATTAGACCTTGTCCTAATTTTATGGTAAAACTCATATCATTGAAAAAATCCCTGCAAGGGAATATAGAATTAAAGGTATGCTGTCTTATTTTTTGCAAAAATTTGTTAAATAACTTTTTATAATGTTAAATCATTAAATACTTTGATGAATTTTATCTCAGATAAATCAGAACTTTGTGCGTTTACTGTTACCACATTTGATTCTCAAAAAGTTTTGGGTTATTTTCATAAACTTACTCTGTTTTTGCATCGATAAATAAACAGAAATTCACAAAAATGTACTAAGTAGTTTAGTTTCATCAAAAGTGTATATTACTTTTTGCAATAAATTGTAGTTGTGCAATCTATTGTAGTTTTGTTGTACAATATATTTCTGGTGTCAAGCAAAGAGTAAATCCAGTAATAAAGATTAGATTTTTATTATTTTTTTTTTTTTCTAGGAGCAAGGACTGGAATATCACCCAAATATTGATGTTCCGAATTTCAATGAAAAATTTTCTACTCTTTCAAGAAAAATAAGAAAGTTAAAAACCAAAGTGGAAGATTTGTCTAAGGTACATCCATGGGAGCAGTTTAAACAAAAGGCTGAAAATACTAATTAAATCTGTGATAAACTTAATTGATGGTCTGATCGTTATCTAAGCAAATTTAGCATATAAGAATGATTTTTATCTTTTTGGAAGTTCTTTTTCACTTCTATGTACTAGATATAACCCAGTTTGTTTTTTTATTCTATAATTCATATTTATTTAAATTTAGCACCTCGATTCTTTAAATGATGGACTTGGTTAATTAACAACTCTAACTACTCATTTTTGATACAATCGTGCTGTTTTACACAAGAAATTACCTTTCATGCTATACTGAATACTTATTAGTATTACATTATTTTCAATAAAACTGTTATGTTTAACCTCCTACCCAACATATTTAGTTAACTTTTCTAACAAAAAAAATGCAATTGAACTTCCCTTAATCTAGGTATATTTTTTGCAGTTATTTGGAAAAAACAAATTTTTAAAATAAACAATGATTGAAAGTGTGAATCCTTACATTAAAACCTTATTTGTCATTGTTTGAACAAAAACTATGCATTTCATTGAGGCCATTAATTTAATCGAAGTTCTAAAAATAAGGGCATTTATTGTGTGATGATCTTTACAAAGGAAGTTTTACCAGGGTTTTTAACTCATATGCTTTGTCCGTTGTACTAGTACTGAATATTATGTCACTGACTCTTACCAATTTATTTTTTCTCCTATTGCATTAACAACAAGACAGAGATAAGTGCAGAAATAAATATTCTTAAAAAAGATAATTACTTGAGGAAAAATATTGAAGTCAGAAAAATGATTGCATGGGTTATCGCTCTATATTAATAGTTTATATTTAAATTTAAATAACGCAACATACAATATAAAATAACTACTGTCATATACAAGTTTTATGGGTTATTTTGAAGCCGTTCACTGTTTAGTTGAGTGAATATTGTTTAAAGTTTTAAAATATGTCAATTTCATGTTGGAGAAAATAACACTGCTCATTCATTAAAGAAGCCTAAATAGGGAAGTTCAGCTGTATCACAAAAGACAATAAATAATAAGTTTTAAAAAAATGCTTTATAATATTCTTCCATGAGTGAAGAAATATTTGTCTATTTAAGTTGTATTTCATCTTTGTTTATAGAAATTATAATATACTTATTAACAACTTTTAATTTTATTTTTATTGTTTGCAATATTTAATAGATTTCTATTGTTATACAACAGAATATTACCATTGTTATAACATGTTTTAATACTGGATTTATGTGTGTTGTGTTTTCAAGTCTTTCTTATATATTATATTGTATGAATTGTAGAAGCGTTAAAAAATATTTATTATAAATTTCGTTTTTAAGTCCACTCGAAATGAAATAAATGTAAAATTGATGTAAACTATAATATTGCATAAACAAATTATAGTGTTTCTAGTTGTCAATTAAGGGGTGTCTTGTGATAGAAATAAAAATATGAAATGTACTACAGCCTTTAGAAGATACTATATATTGGAAATTGTTCAGTTTTATTTACATTTGAATATCTCCTATAATTTTAGTCGAGATCTGATTAGTTCAGTACTAATCACTATTGTATTTGTCTTATTAGTTATTTTTTAATTTGTTTTGTCAATTGTTAAGACTGAATTTTATGGAAATTAATACTTAATTAATAATAAACTATAACTATTGAGAATGTTTTATGCAATTTTAATATATTTATTGTTTTCGATTTTTAGAAATTGTTTTTACAATATGTTGATGTATAAATTATATTATTCACCTAAACTTGATCTTCATTTTAACATGATAACAATTTCTTTTATATTCATAAATCCCGAACATTTATCTTGTCTAGGATTTTTATTTGTTTTGTTTTCTGGATGGAGATTATGAAGTTTGAGGTAGGAAGGTTTATTCTTCAGGCTACCAAAATAGGAAAGTCAAGATTTACTCCATTATTTTTCAACTCCTCCAATTTGCTTTCTTTTTCCACTTACTCCAAAATAATCCACTTAATGAAGAAGATGGAACAACTGGTGATAACTTGGTTGAAGCAGCCCAACCAGACATATAAATGAAAAATTTGATCATTTAATGACCATGGACAGTCAGTACAAGGTTAAATCCTTGGAAGTGCATGGAATGGTTCGAGAAGTGGTTAAAGAGATTTAGATTAGAGATCAGGGGTATACCTCACTCATGGACAGCTGAAGAACTGGAGGGAAAGTTGTGGAAAATAGCTGAAATATCGGTTCCTAACGACGTTAGAAAAGAAAGTATACATGCCGCCACTACACAACAACCAGGAACCGTATCACTAGGAATTGGTTGTTGGAGGTGCACCCAATGATCCAATTTAAATTGAGAGAAGAACAAACGATAGCGGGAGGATAGTGGACATTGTTATTCATGGATTACTTGGAAGCTCCCTGTTGTGTGAAATGCCAAGGATATGGGCACACCAAAGCCACCTGCACTGCCGATAGCCTTGTCTGTAGATGGTGCTCTGCTGCCCTATAGCAAAATATTGAGAACAATTATAAAGTTGACCGGACATGTGTCAATTGCATGCGAGAATGTCCTCATCATATCATAAGAAAGAAAAAAAGAACCCAATATAAGTAAATCATTCCGCAACTGAACATGGGCCACAGGCGTATTAGCTTAAATTATTAAGTATTGAGCTTAGCTTAAAGCTATGGTTCAACGGTACGATATCATGGCGATCCAAGGATCATGCTGCCGTGGGAATGTGGTCAAAGGATTTGGTACCATGTCGAGAGTAATAGACCTAAGCAGTGGATAGAGGTGGCCTAGGGCGGCCATTGTGGTCAATAACCCTAACTTCGACATGATGACGCTGAACCAATACACCATGACGGACTATACTAGTGCTGTATTAGGTGGGAAAGCCTTGTCTTCACACTAATATCAACTTACCTACTTGATAGAGGTAACATTGACGACGGCATATCTACCATGGAATTTAAAGGGTAGAAGAAATATCATAATTTGCTCAGAAACCAATTTCTGGAACACGGTTAATGAATCTTCAAAGAATCCTTAGGGTATTTCATACAGAGTGACTATGGGAAAATTGCAGACATTAGCGGCTCTTAAGTATGGAGATATTCAGACATCTGAAGAGTTAGCCAGTATATTTACTGAAGCAATATACCCCAAGGATGATCCACTCTGGCTAACGATGAAGAAGCATTTTTGAGAGGCACCACGATATACCTATCTGGCACGGACTTGTGCCCTCCATGGGATCTATGTTGTGCTATGGATAGGCAAAAGACTGGTCGAGCTACGGGAGTAGATGTCATAGACGCGGTAATCCTGAGGAATAATATCCCCTGTATTGTAGAGAAACTACTTGCTATTTTCAATAGTTATTTTAATAGGGGATACTTTCCCACGAAGTGGAAGATTGGCGACTTGAGACTGTTCTACAAGAGAGGCAACATCCTAAGTCATATAAACAAATATGCCTTCTGCCTGTGATATGCAAAGTCCTAAAGGTCTCATCCACTTCAATGGATCCACTAAATGCAAGGAAACCGCTCTACGAGTGCGTAGAGGCGTTGATGAAACAAGAGAGTTGTATGTCATGATGTTACTCTTTGACATATCATCCGCTTTCAACAACGTCTGGTGGCCACGCGTTCTACAGCAGTTGCAGAGATATGATACCCCCAGCAACCTATATGCTCTTTTGAAAAGCTACCTACCTACAGGACAGACATGTGAGAATAAGGTCGACCGACCACCGGAAACGCAGCTGAGTCAGGTTCCAAAACCTAATCAGATTTTTAATAACAGGCCGGCCACCAGATGCGGAGAGCTGAGCTCAGTTGAGCGGCGTAGCAAGAGTCGGCACAGCTTTGGCTCTACCGAGATTCGGGTTTGAAGCTACGCTTGAATTAAATTAAATTGAATTAAAAAATATATTTTCATTGAGTGCATACCAAAATAGTGAATGGAATTTTCAAAACTTGAAAATGATAAGCTAATTTTATGTTTATGTCTTCAATAACCTGCCTTATCATAGTTAGTGAAGTAAACATTTATTTAAGTTATAATTTTGAAGGAGTAGGATGCATGGATATAGAAACGGCTTTAAATAATATGAGCTATAAATAATAGATAAAATAAATGACATAAGTCATTTATTGCGTTCGATCTTTTTCTGTTCTGGTGTTAAATTATAGCATATTTATTCTAGTTTAAAAATTTATAGATTTCGTTTTGTCGAAAACGTACTCTTTCATGGATAAAAAAAGTTCGATAGGAAAGCGAAAAAAAATATATAGCAGTTTTTGCGATATTGAAAAGTGATCCAGGGGAGCGCCAAGGTCGAAAAATTGGATTTTTCATCTCAGTCATATCCCATACAAGAAAATAAAAAGCAAATTTCTACTTCTATTCAATGCAACTTACGATGTACAAGGTTACTGGCCTACTTTTATTGTTATGAAATTACGCAGATCAGGTGGGGCGAGGTTTTCATATCAGACTCTGATTTCTGTAGTAGACCATTCTGAATTAATGTTAAAACTCAGATAATAAATATTTATATACTTTTGAAAAACAAGTGGATATGGTTTTATATTATTCATTGGAAGTCGAATCTGGTTTTATACTTCTAGAATATTTCTTAAATCCATGGTACGTTTTATTATTTAAGGATTATTTCTGTAAGGAGTTATTGATTGATAATCATTATGAGTTATATCCCAGATTGCTTCGGTTATCATTTGTTATTTTCTCTTAAATCTTTTAACTATTGTATCTAGAGTTAGAATGCTGCTTAAAAACTACGTTACTTAGTTACATCATTACATTTTAAATCCCTAATTTGAAACTTCTAGAGATTTTTCGGGATTTTATTCCTCCCGAAAGATATAAGAAAGCACTTTTTGCACTAATTATTGAGGTCATTATGAAGCCGAGTTATTGGAATTTGCCTATTGTCGGGAACTATTTTTCGTTTACGTATTTTCTATTTTTGAGGAGGTTTTCTATTACTTGTTAGCCAATTTTCTCTGCTTCTCTTGC